TCTGCAGCACTTCTCCAGAGGGTCGCGGGCCTCAGGCGGGAGCATTCCTGTAGCGTCCGGCGGGGGAGGGGGGGTGGTCCCCTCTGGTGCCTCCCCCCTGGCGCCTCCTTGCAGCCCGGTGTCCCGGGCGCCGGGACTCTTCCCCCGCCACACTCCTCCCTGTCGTCTACACTGTGGTATCGTGTGAACTACTTTTGGTCTGGGCTCGGCGTAGTGTCCTTGGGGGGGAAGTGTGGGGGGGTCTCACTGTAGAAAGTCGACTTCTGTACTCCCCTTCTTTCCTTCTGCCCCGGAGTCTCGCTTTGGAGAGAGTCCTCCGGAATGGCCACCTGAGCCTTCCCTGCTCCACCTGAAGGTGATGAAGCGCTGACAACCAGCCGAGGGGGCTTTGTCCGCCGCGCTCACCTTCTAGGAGCGGCGGCGTGCTGCAGGCTGGCATGGCCGGAGGGGACTGGGCACGGGGCTTGAAGAACCCTACGCTTAGGAGGAAGAGTTGGCCGCTTAAAGTGACAAGAGACGTTAATTACGATCCTAGGGCAGATCTTACCTGCATTCGCGTTCTCGGGGAGTTTTTGACGGAGGGCCTTAGCTGTTCCCTGAGTAGGGCCGGTCCCCTGTGGAACTAGTCCCTGTAGAGTCAGAATCCCAGTTACACCATTTCTTCATTGTGCTCCCACAGTCAAGTTGTCTCATCTCTCTGAGCTGGAGCTTTTTCATCAAATGAGAACATCTGGCTCTATTTAATAGAATTGACGTGAAACTCAGATGAGATAAAGAGTATAAAAATCATTTCATCAGGTGTTTTTTTTTTTCTTATTTCAGAAATGTTCTTTTGGGGCCAGAGTCTGGTTACATGTGAATGCAAATCTTCACCCATTCACAAGTAAGCCCAGGAATCTCAACTGAAAGGATCACTTCTCTGTAAGCCTTAGCCCAGGTAATTATTTTTTAAATAAACATTTAAGACATTTTCTCAGTCACTGAATATGTGTCAAGCCCTGGAGTAGAAATGATATACAAAACAGATTCTTGCCCTACAGATTCAGAATTGCTGAGGATGAAGCAGGCGAGTGGTCGAGGTGGGAAGCATAAGTAAGCAGCTCAGCCCGGGGTCTGCGCAATGATAGAATCATATGCAGAGTCCTGAGATGACAGGAAAGTCATCAAAGACAGACTGGTCAGGAGAGGAGGGTCCGAGAAGCTCACAGACATGATAACACTCAGGGTTGGGTTGCACACGGGTAGTTCTCAAATCTGGATTTTTATCAGAATCTCTGGAGGAATTCTTTAAACAAAATGAATCTGAATTTTATCATAGTATCTCATCTATTTTTTTTTTTAAAGTTTCTTTGGTGAGTTTGATGCACCTTCAGGGTTAAGAACCAGGCAGAGGTATGGAGGGCAGGTGTTCATACCTGGAAGATGGGAGAGCGTCCATAAAGGCAGAGAATGCCAAACACCTTGAAGCGTTGTAGGAAGAGCAAGTTGGCGGGGGAGCGGGGCAAGAGATGATGCTGAAGCCACATCATGGAGGGCCTTGTGTGGTGACCTCAAAATTTTGAATTTTAACCCAAAACTGGAGAAGTCATTTGTGTTTTCAAAGTCCAGTTTTTTCTTTCCCCTTTGGCAGCATTTTGGAGGAAGAATTGGTGGTAGATCAAATAAGAGGCAGAAGAATTCCACTTAGGCTTCTTCTCAGATCCATACAAATAACAGAAACGTATTAAACTGTGGCAGTGGCAGTCTCACTGAGAATAGCGTACGGACGTGATTGAGAAGGTAGACTCTGGAGCTCAGAGAGATGAGGCTGAGGGAGAGGAGAGTATAGGATAAATTCCCAGGTTACTGGTTTGAAAACTGAAGGGAGTTAATGCTATGGGTATAGAAAATACCACTTTTCAGGGAAGGACTTTGTTCTGTTCTGATTGTTTATTTTGAGGTGCCTGTTGGGCGAGTCGAGATTTCCTGTGCGATTGGATATTGGATATATTTTTGTGGAATTCTTGGCTAGGCCGTCATGTACGGAGTAGCGGAAATGTAGTTAAGCATTGCGTTACAAGGGTTACACACATTCTCGGTCCTTGAGAAGATTCAGTGTAGGTAATAGTTGAAGCAGTGGTTTGAATTAGGTCACCCAGAAAGAGGATATTGAATGAAGAGGTTAGAGTCCTGAGGAGAAGCCTTTGGAAATTAATATTTAGTGAGGAGGGGGTGGGGGGGAGGAAAAGGTGATTGCGAAAGAGATCGGGTAGAGGAACAGAAAGAGCGACGTGTTGCCTCAGCTAAGGAATGCACGGTCAGCGTTTTCATGTGCTGTCAAGGAGTCAAAGGACCTCTTGGATTTGGTAAGACAGTTAATTAAGGACCGCAGTGAACACAGTGAAATAAGGGTAGAAAGCACAGTGCAAGGGGACTGAAGAAGTGAATCTAGATTACTTTTTCAAGAAGCTCAATTGGGAAGGAAAGAAGAAAGTGATGGTTATTTGAAGTTTCTGGCTAGCTAATACTGAGAAATGATATCCCCAGGGCAAGTCTGTGGAAAGCTGTACCGCGAGGTATCCTGTATTATTGGCACATCAGCTTGTTTGTACAAGGTAGACATTAATAAAATCAGCTCCTTTGTAAAGAACTTTTTTAATTAAAAGTTTTGGGGTGACATTGGGTGATAAAATCAAATGACTTTCGAGGGTACAGTTCAACAATCTGTCATTTATATATTGCATCGTGTGTTCACCACCCAAAGTTAGATTTCCTTCCTAGCCAAATATTTGATACTTTTTACCTTTAACCTACCTCTTCCCTCCCCCCCCATTTCCCCTGGTAACCACTAATCCACTTTCCACAAGTCTCAGTTTGCTATGTCTGTCTGTTGCTTTCAGTTTTATATCTTCGTGAAATCATATGCTTTAAAGGAGTCAAAGAACCTATTGGATTTGGTAGTGCAGAGATAATTAAGGGCCGTGGTGAAAACAGTGAAATAAGGGTAGAAATCACATTGCAAAGGGACTGAAGAAGTGAATCTAAATTACTTTTTCAAGAAGTTTAGTTGGGAAGGAAAGAAGAAAGGATGGTTTTCAACTTTTTCTGTTTTACTGAATTCGCTTAGCATGATTATCTCATTGTCCATCCATGTTGCAAATGGCAGCATTTCGTCTTACGGCCGAGTAATATTCCCTCGTATATATGTACCACATCTTTTATCCATCTGTCATAGGTTGCTTCCATGTCCTGCCCACCATGAGTAAGGCTGCTATGAATATTGGGGTCCACATATCTTTGTGGATAAATGTTTTCAGGTTTTAGGGGTAAATACCGAGAAGAGAGATTGCTGGGTCTTATGGTAATGCTATTCTCAGTTTTTTGAGGAACCTCTGTACTGTTTTTCATAGTGGTTGTACCAGTTTACATTCTTGCCAGCAGAGTAGGAGGCTTCCTTTTTCTCCGCATCTTCTCGACCTGGTTATTACTTGTCTAGTTGATAAACAGCCATTCTAACACATGCGAGGGGATATCTCATTGTGGTTTTAATTTGCATTTCCCTAATAGCTAGTGAAGTTGAGCAACTTTTCATATGTCTGTTGGCTTCTTGGCAACTTTTTATTTGTATGTCTTCTTGGGAGAAGTCTCTTCAAGTCTGCTTGTTTTTTAATTGGATTGCTTTTTTGTTGTTGAGTTGTATGAGTTCTTTATATACTTTGGACATTAGGTCCTTATCGTTGTTTGCAAATATATTCTCCCATTCGGATGGTTGCCTCTTTGCCTTGTTGATGGTTTCTTTTACTATGCAGAAGCTTCTTAGTTTGATAGAGTCTCATTCATATAGTCTCATTTTTGCTTTTACTTCCCTTGCCTTTGAGGTCAAATTCATAAACTCTCTAAATCCAAGGTCCCTGGGTTTAGTACCTCTGGTTTCTTCTACGCAATTTATTGTTTCGGGTCTTATATTTAGGTCTTTGATCCATTTTGAGTTAATTTTAGTGTATGATGACAGGGGGCAATCTAGTTTCATCCTTTTGCATGTGGCTTTCCAATTTTCCCAGCATCATTTATTGAAGAGGCTTTCCTTTCTCCATTGTGTTTTTGGCTCTTTTGTCGAAAATTATTTAAAATGCATTTTAAAGCTATAATATTCAAGCAGTTTGGTACTGATGTGTAAGTAGACACACAAAATAGTGGATCAGACTAGAGTCTAAGAATGGAAGCAGATAGTTCAAAAATGATTCAACAGATGGCTTTTGATGGAGGATTTCATTAAATCTGCATAATGCTTGGGGTAATATGGTCATTTTAACTATACTGATTCTTCCAATCCACGAACACAAAGTAACTTTCCATTTCTTTGTGTCTTTTTCAATTTCTTTTAATATCGTCTTATGGTTTTCAGTGTATAGGTCCTTCACATGTTTCATTAGGTTTGTTTCTAGATATTTTATTCTTTTTGTTGGAATTGCAAAATGAATTTTTCCCCATTTTTATGAAAATTCATTGTTAGGATAGAAACACTATGATTTTTTTAAAAATACGGAACGCTTCACGAATTTGCGTATCATCCTTGTGCAGGGGCCATGCTAATCTTCTCTGTATTGTTCCAATTTTAGTATATGTGCTGCCGAAGCAAGCACCGCTGTGGATTTTTGAACATTGATTTTGTATCCTGAAACTGTTTATAATTTCTGATGGGTTTTTAGTGGAGCCTTTAGGGTTTTCTATATAGAGGATCGTGTTGTCTGCAAAAAGTGACAGTTTTTCTTCATTCCCTGTTTGGATGCCTTTTATTTCTTTCTCTTGCTTGATTGCTCTAGCTAGGATTTCCAGTACTATATTGAATAGTACTGGTAATAGAGGACAGCCTTGTCTTGTTCCTGATCCAGGAGGGAAAAATCAGCTCGTTTTGATGCATGGGAAGTGGTACTTACTTCTGTCCTGCAGCTTGATGGTTCCCTGGATACCTCATCTGTGGTTCAGTAATGGTGCCAGGCAGTTGAAGTGAACAAAACTGACCTCCAGAAGAACAGAGTTGTGCAGAAACTTAGAAGATTCACGGTCCTCTACAAGTAATTTTCCCTCAAAAGAAAAATTATGACATGCCCTATTCGGAGTTTGTTGGGCTTAGCTTTCAGGCCTGTGATGATTTTCGATTTGAGGACATAAGCACACACATTATGGCCATTTGGTAGGAATCACGGAAACGTTTCTGTTGCTGGAGTGCACCGTCGCACTGTTCTCTGTGTTCCAGATTCCATGGCACTTACAGAGCATGTGGCAGTCACTCCCACCTCCTCTGAGAAAAGTTAGTCTTACTTTGTGGAGTGGAGATAGGCTAGCTCTCTGAGGGGAATAAAAAGCAGACTCCATAATTTTCTTAATGGAAAGTTTGTTTTGCTAACTACGCTTTTAAAATGTCATAGAGGTATCATTTGTACTTCAGTCCCTTAGTTTCAGTTTATGCAGTCTTTTACTCTTGTCAAATCATGCTCAAAACAATTAAGAAACCTCAAAGAAGTTTCACTTTCTATTGAATCTGAGTTCACTCCCCACATTGACTTAGATCACCAGAAAAAAACTAACTTCTCTGCAGACTTCTTAGTATTATGAAATTGGCCTTTCAGATATAAGAAATTCTCTTTTGAATAAAATAATTTTATATTCTGCAGTGCCTAGTAATGTTCACTGTTACTTCGTAGTCCCTAATTTGCAACAAGGCAGGCATCAATCAGCTTAATCGAATTAGTATCAGGAAAGGGCAGGACTCTCCCGCTGAACTGGCATCCTTTTTTTTTTTTTTTTCCCCTCAAGTGAGAACTGTGTCCCTCATGTTATCTTTTGTTCTGCTTTTCAGGAAACCGAATTTAAGACTTAGTGAAATTAAATTTCTTCTGTATAAATTTGGATTGCTCTCTCTTTTTAAATGTCCTTTTTAAATGTCCTTGTCTATATGTAGTAGTACATCAATGTTGAAAGCTTTCCTAAATTCTTTTTAGGTGCAGGAAGAAGGTATGTAATATTTAATAAGTTTAAAAATTCATAAGTATTTGATTATAAAATCAAAATATGTATTTAATTATGCTTATACATTTATATATAATTCTTTAATCATGGATGTAAGAAGAAAATAAGTAGTTTTTTAAAAAAAATCAGTTTAAAGAACTGGCATTATGCCACAAAAACCTGAGCATTTAAATGATTTCTGTCAAGATGTCATAAGCAGAGATTATGCACTCCGAATTTTAGGGTGATACGCATTCACAAACCTCACTGCCAAGTTTCTGTGCTCAAATATTCAATGATTTGGGTCATATTTCTTAACCTTTTACTGTCCTCTCTCCCTCCCTGAAAGGAAACATTTTATACATTTTTTCCTATGAGTTTCCCGTGACTTTTAATATTAGTGATATATTGTATATCACTCTGTGTACTGTATGTTTATCTGTGCTCTATGCATAAAAAGAGTAAGACTTTACATAATTAAGGTCAGGTTTGTAACTTTTTTTCCCCTTTAGGCTGGTATTTTACGTAGTTAGGGTCAGGTTTCTCCTGATGAGGTTTGTTAGCTGATTCCCCATAAATCAGTAGTCTCGTGAAAGAACACTTGCTTTGATTTCCTTCGGGTGTGATTTTCCTCTTCGTTGTTTCAGACTGGCTGATACCTGTTTAGATAATACCCACTCGGGCTTGCCTGATGTTTTCCTCATGAATAGACGGGGGCGCTACGGGTTTGGAGAAACAGACTGCAGAGTTGGAGCTGCTTCCTCATCACATGTCGGGTTATCAGCATGACGTCACCAGCGATGTTGCCCCTGATCCCTTGGTTTGGGTCATGTTGGCCAGGTGTCTCCACTGTGAAATCCCTGCTTTTCCTTTTGCGTGCTCTCTTCTCTGGAGGCGGGCCACCAAGTCCAGCCCATGTTCAAGATGGGGTGGGGTTAAGTTCCTGGAATGGAGACTACTGATATGTATTATTTGAAATTCTTCTATATGGAAGATTTATCCCTTCTCCTACATTTGTTTATTCAGTCATTTATTTATGCCACTGTGAACTCACGCGTATTAACTTTATACTGTTGGCTCTACTCCACTAGTACATTTATTTTGTCCAGAATGTTTGCGCTTTGGCCGTTGAGAGCTCTCTTGGATTGGCTCCTGGGTCCCTTTGATATGCCCCCACCCTTTTGTATTTTGAGTGCTTTCTGGCTCTGTGAGGTGCTCCAGGCTCACCTTGGTATTGTTCCTGCCCTTCTTTCCCTCCCTCATTTATTTTCATGCAAACATTTGCTTTTCGTTTAGCCACAACATAATGCTGACTGACAGCACCCTATTGGCTTTTCTATGCATTTCGTTCGACATAAAAATAGAGCATCTCAGCTTACTTTAATTATACCTCATTAGAGTTTGAAATCTCTGGATTCTGGCTTCCATCCTATTTGCTGGTCCTCCCAGTTTCATGCCATCTGCATTTCTGATAAACGTGCCTCGCATATCTTCATTGACATCTTTGACATATTTGGTTCTTGGAATTTCCTGGTACCATCTTGCTACTTTGCTCTCCTTGAGATTGCTAGGATTTGGAAAATTATTTACTCTTAACCTTTTCACTTGAGTTTGGATGGTGGAGGCTCTGATGGTATTATAAAAACTAAAGTTGGACACAGTCAGAAACTTGAAGTATGGGACTTAGTAGCAACAGGTTAACATTTGTTGCTGTTACAGTGCGTTGATGAGTAGTGAATTATGGGCAGTGATGCTCTATGGCAAATTCACGTATATATACTTTATAAACAAGAGATAGCCCTTCTCTGGGTTTTTGTTATTGGTGTGGATTAATATTTATGGATTTTTATGCCTTCAGAGATTTCTGGAACATAGCATCTGGGAGTGTGAGATTCCTTGAGGTTTCGACGGGGTTCCAGTCCGTCTCTAGCTCATTCCCCACTCTGCTTTGGCAGCACCGATAATTCCGTCTCAGTGTATTTTCTACGTGTGTTACGTAGTTTCGAGCCTTCTTTATAGCACAGCTGTATATTGCCTTATGATGTTTCTAACTAACAGTGCTTTCATTTCATTATATTTTTCGCGTGTCGTAAGTTTTTAAGAGTGGGCTCAGAGTTTAGTCCGTGATTGACAGGCTGGCCAGCAGATGGCTCTGGACATGGTGGAGGCGCATTTTAAGTGAGGGCGAGGGGCGTTAGGCGGGGGCATACCCATTCACACAATATGGGCCCGAAGTATTGCTTTGTTTCTTTCCTTCATCTTTGCCATCTTTTCTGAATGTAGGTGCAGAATGAGCACATGCTGTTGGTGTACGCCAGGTGGCGTTTCCACCGTCGACTTCCTGAAGCTCTATGCATCCGAGACCCCATCCAGTGCATTTCAGACCGCCGACGAAGACCTCTGCTACTGCTTGGAGTGTGTGGCCGAGTACCACAAGGCCAGGGATGAGCTGCCGTTCTTGCACGAGGTAATTTCCAGTAGATGTGTGATAGTTTTCAGAGTTTGATACCTCGGAAGAGAATAAATTTGAACTCAGTTGGAAGCGTTCAGGGAACTGGTCATTTACACTTTGAAGGCTGATACACTTTTGGTAAATTCATTGCTGACTTAATGCTCGCTGACTGATGGAATGGAATTGAAACTTAAGGCAGAATTTTCTGACTTCTCACCTTTAAGTCAGTTTGACAGGAAACATTTTTTTGAAATGAAGTGATGTTTGGGGGTTTTTTGGTTTATGTTTTTATGTCAGACTTTGACAGTGTTAATGATGTCTGAATGGCTTGGGTTATTTTATTGGTTGATCCTTTTTTTTCTCATTTCATTTTTTTAATGGTAAATGGTATAAACCTCTAAAGGCAAGTATATTTTTCTAGTTATACTAACCAAAATGAAACATGTAATTTTAAATACTTGGCTTTGAATATTTAGTTTATCTGATGAAAAACAGAACACAAACCACAGATATATCTACAGTAGAGAAAGAAAGGGAGAGGGTGATTATTTATGAATTTGTTCAGAAAACTTTTGCATTTGCAAAATTTCCTAGTTGTGAGGCTAACCAGTGTCTTAAACCAGCTGATGTGTAAGGTGAGTACCAATAGCTGGAACATAGAAGGGAAGACGTGGAAGGGGTGGCTCATGCCTTTGACAAAGAAGCTCCAGCTTCTCCTTTCCTTTTTAGTAGAGTATACTTGGTAGGGGTGTTGAGATATTTATAGCAACCCTGCAAAAGTGGTGTTCAAACATCTCTTGCTCTACGTCCTCATATTTGTGTATCAAAAAAATGGCCATGTTTAGTGACTATTTTCTTCAAATCTGATATGTGATATTTAGTACTTCTGAATTTTTATAGTTAGGAGAAGGCTTTCTAGAAAGATCATCACATCCAGTGTATTTTGTTGATAATAAGATATATAAAGCATATTGCCTATTTTTGTTTTCCTGTAGGTTTTATGGGAATTAGAAACCCGACGTCTCATAATTCATTTTGAAAAATCCATGAGGGCAGAAATCGAAGATGATGATGAATTATACATAGTGGACAACAATGGAGAGGCACAGCTGTTTGACTTTACTGGCCAAGACTTTGAAAATAAGCTTCGGGTTCCTCTTCTTGAAATCCTGAAATATCCTTATCTGCTCTTACACGCACGTGTTAGTGAGTATCTGCATGTCCCACGAGTTACGTCAGTTTTGTTATTTCAAGGATTGTAGGAATTTAGATTTATCTTTATTGAAAATCTGTTCGTTAAACATAGACTATTTAATATTTTTCCCAACGTTTTGTTACCGAAGATTCTAAACAAAATAATTTTGTGGTGAACACCACATACGCACCACGCAGATTCTGCAGTTGCTAACATCTCACTATATTTGCTTTATCACATATTTATTCATCTGTCCATTTAGTTAATTTTTATTCTTGTAATTTGTAACAGGGTTTCTCAACCTTGGCACTACTGATATTTTAGACGGGGTGATCATTGTTTGGGGGGCTGTGCTGTCCATTGTAGGATATTTACTAGCATCCTTGGCCTCTGTCCACTAGATGCCATAGCGTCCTGCTCTCCCTTGACCCAGCTGTAAAAACCAAAAGTGTCCAAATACTGCCAGATGTCCTTTGGAAGTCGGGAGGGGCAGAATCACTTCTGGTTGAGAACTGCTGGGCTGCAGTGGTTTTCATTAATCATTGTGGCATAGCGTATCATGGCCGCCTAGATTTTGGTCATTTATATTTGCATTTCTTAATATGAATCTCTTAAAAGCAAAGACATTTTCTTGATCTGTTAAATTTAACAAAATAACGATACCTTTAAGGCATCTGATATCTAGTTCATTTTAACATCTTTCTCAGTAATTGCAAAATGTATTTTGGCTGATTTGTTTAGAGTTCAATCAGGAATGATACATTGCATTTGGTTCCTATTTCTTAAGTCTCTCTTAATTCCATACAGTCTGTTCGTACGTACACGCGCACAGACCTTTTTGTTGTTTTTTCTTAACTGACTTGTTGAGACCATGTAGTTGCCCTGTAGAATAAATAATGCACTTTGGGGATTATTCCGATTGCTTTCTTGTGATATTATTTAACTTACGTCTCTATCCTTTGTATTTTCAGTAAACTGGAAAGTCGATCTAAAGATTTAATTAAATCTTTCTAAATTAAAATAATTAGATTTTAAAATTCTAAGTCATTTTTCAAACATTAAAGACTATTACTTCTAGGAAAGTGTGTGTGTGTGTGTGTGTGTGTGTACACACACACACACACACACATATAAGCTTAGTAGTTTTTCACAAACTAAACACACTTCTGTAGCCACCACCCAGATGAAGAAAATGCCAGCACCCCAGGAAGTCCCCTCACGCTTTCCTAGTCACTGTCTCTTACTCAGTGCCTGCCACTGTTACTGAGTGTTCTTTGAAGCTTGACAGAGTTGATTCAGCTGATCGTGTAAATGTGTGGTTTGTTCTGTTCATGACACTTCTGAAAGAGTAATGAAATTTCCAGAGAGGAATTAAGACAGTGCTGGCATGGATAGGCTAATGGGACAGAGCAGAGTCCAGAAGTTCACCATGTGTGTTTGGGGAGTTTAGTATCTAATGGCGGTAGTGTTTCACACCAGTGGGGAAAAGGAATTATTCAGTAAATGAGAGTAGGACAAAATAGTCATTGGAGGGAAAAGCTGACTTTATCATTATCACTCCAGTCCATGTGAATCAAAATGTAAGATGCCAATGGAATTGGATCTATAACCAGACTTCTAAGCAGACACCCTGTGGAGATAATTATGCCAAGGGTAAAAAAAAAAGATGTATATACTAGTCAGAATCATTCATAGGAACCACACTGTAATGAACCAGTTAGTCTTTCAGATAGGTAAATATTATTCCTAAATTTACATGATCAGCCTTTTTATGCCACACTTAAAAAAAAAAGGAACAAGTTTTCATTTACTTGAAACAACTGAAGGAGCCAGATTTAGGGAATCTTGTTAAGTCGATAAGATTTATGTCTTATGTATATTGCTTTATTTCTTCTGTGTAGATGAATTATGCGTTGAAGCACTTTGTCGGATGGAACAGGCCAATTGCTCCTTTCAGGTTTTTGAAAAGCATCCTGGGGTCTATTTGTTTTTGGTCCATCCCAATGAAATGGTGAGTATGAGCGTCGAGCAGTGGAAGGACGTATTGTACTTTCACATATATAGATAGCTGTAGTAGAAGTGTTGGGTGTGTGTTTTGTTGAAATGTTCATCAAGATTATTTTCATTTTGTAAAATGACTATAGTTAAGTGGAGGTGCTGTGGGGTTAAAGAAGAAGAGATCCAAGAGGGTAAGAGAATATTTCTGACGGGTGATGATTCAGCTTAAAAGACAGATAAGGGAGTACTTTGAACTTCTTTCAGTCTGTCAACCTGAACCAACGAAGAAGGACTTCCTCTTTTGCTTTCCTTGCCTGCCTACCCTACTCCAAGCACATGGAAATACTGGTTAAAACATTTTGCTAATTGAAAACAATTGAAAAAATTATTTTGCTAATAGATGAGATTTTTTAAAGTCTGGGGGAAGGGGGTGAAAGAGGGGAGGGTAGGAAATCCAGTTCCTAGGTACTGGAAATGAAGAGGGGCAGACGAATCAGAGCAGAGCAGAGAGCAGCACCAGAGTGTTGAAGCCCGACATTGAGCCTATTGCCCAGGTTTTTATTTTGACTTTCTTTTCTTTTTTTTTCTTTCCTTTTTAAAATTTTGTTATGGAAAATTACACACAAAAGTAGAATGGTATAATGAGCTCTCATATGTTCATCACTGAGCTTTATCAGTTATCAGTACATGTCAATATTCTACTACTGCCTTTTTGGATTAGTTAGAGCAAACCCGAGACACCAGAGCGTTTCATCCATAAAAATACTTCCGTATGTGTCTCTAAGAGATGAGGACTTTGTATTTTTTTATTTTTGTCGTCTCGATGTGGCTGCTGCTTTATATCCGTAGTTACAGGGGTCCTGGTCAGCCGATCTGCGGGGGGTTCTCCAGGGCGGTTCTGTAATTGGGTTGCGATTTCGATGTGGTCACGGGAGGAGGCGGGCACGGCATTTACCTACTCTGCCATCGTGACTGGGAGCCCATGAGGACTTTTTAAAACAACAAAGCAATGCTATCACCGCACTGAAAATAATCTTTTAATGTCATATTCCTAGCCAGCGTTTAAATGAATGGAGATGATTGCCTCAGAAATGCTTTATTAGGGTTAGTTTATTCAAATCAGGATCAAATAAGGTCCACACTTTGCATTAATTAGTATCTCGTGTCTTTTAAAATCTAGAGGGAATCCTATTTTCTTACCTAGTTTTTTGTTGTCTGTGGAATGAAGTAGCAACTCTCTTCTGCTTTCAGGTTCGGCGCTGGGCCATCCTGACCGCAAAAGGCCTGGGGAAAGTGGACAGGGACGATTACTATGACTTACAGGAGGTTTTGACTTGCCTCTTTAAAGTCATCGAGTTGGGGCTTTTAGAAAGTCCAGACATTTATACTTCCTCTGTCCTCGAGAAGGGTAAACTGGTTCTTCTGCCCTCACACATGTATGATACTACAAACTACAAAAACTATTGGCTAGGTGAGTGTGTTGTCCCTACACAATTATAATTTGTATTTTTCTATAGTTTTTATGAGTATCCTGCAAAGAGAGTGATCTCTTGGTAATCTTATCAAAATGCGAAATACAAGATTTCATAGTTTCCAGTTCTTCTGTCGTTGATGTAACTATTACACATCTCGTTTTAAACATTGTTTATCCTAGAAACTTTCTATGTAGGAGGTAACATTTTCAAGTATGGCAAGTAGATCTTTTATGTAAAGCAATATTAGATATAACAAAATATTAATAGAGCAGGTGACTTTAATAGGTTTGATCTATTTAAAACAAAGGTCCAGTCCAACTCAGAAGAGGCCCACCTGCTTTACTGAGTCTAGGTCTTATAGTCATGTATCATATTTGGCAGTGATTGGCACTTGAAATATGATGATCTTAAAATTAAAGCCATGTTAGATTTAATGAAATATGAAATGTGTGGCAGTCATCTTAGATATTGTTTTCTAAGCACGTTTGTACTGCATTCCCTTTTTGTTCTCAAATCAGTCCGCTATCTCGTTATTTAGGAGCAGTTCTGTGTGAAAATGCCAGAGTTAAATGTGTGAGCAACTGGATACTGTTTCGCTTTATCTTTCTGCCATGTTACTTTTATCAGCTAAGCCAGAGAAGGCATTAGAATATAACTTAATTCAAGAAAACTGAATGATCTTACAGGTATCTGCATGTTGCTTACCATTCTTGAAGAGCAGGCCATGGATTCACTGTTGTTGGGCTCGGACAAAGAGAACGATTTTATGCAGTTGATACTTCACACCATGGAGAGGCAGTCAGACGGTAATGAACTCTGTTTCCTAAATGCTTTTGAATACTGTGATGATGATGCACTTTTAAAATCCCGGGGTCACTGCGAGAATTGGGGGTGTGGTGTGGAGAAAAGAAGAATGAACATTTTGTGGTTTAGGCCACAGATTCAGGATTCTAAGTCAGAAGGGACGTTTAGAGTGTAATTCATCACCCCACTTTCACAAAAGAAGAGACCAGAGCACAGAGAAGTCAGCTTGCTTTTTCACATGAGAACGCCCCGTTCGTGGTAGAAGCAGACTAGAACCTGTAGGAGATACATTTCTAATGTATCCCCTGTCGTCCACTGTCTCCCTTTTTCCTGGTTCTTCATTTCATTTCTTTCTGGTTTCACTGTCCAGCCTGGTGACTGCTAGCTGAATATGGCTCTTTCAATTTAATTAAAATAAAATTAAAAATGTGGTTCCACTTGTACTCCAAGAACTCAGTAGCTGGATGTGCCTGGGGGCTACCGTACCCAACAATCCTCATGGGACGTTCTGTTGGACAGCACTGCTCAGAACGTCTACAAAATAAGGTCTAAAACTTGTCGTCGTGTTTACTATTAAACCCCAGCTTTCTTTGCTCGTGGTCATGTCAGATGATCAAGGAGGATTTGTGTTTATATAAGTGTTTCTAATCTTACTTCTTTATGAAAGAATGAATCAGTAAAGACCAAGCATGCTGGATCCGGTGAAAACATAATTTTTCCCATTTTGGCTTTTCTTTAGAAAACTTCAGTGTGGATATAAACTCATTTCTGGGAGATTCTAAAATATGTTCTTTTTTTTTTGATCCTATGTATTTTCTTGCTGGATTATTCCTGAGTAAGGTTATTACTAATTCATTTGCCAGCATTTACTACATAAATTGTTCATTTCTTTCCATGTGTCTTGCACAAAAAAATTTTGTTTTCGTTAATCCACCTCCCCTAACCTTCAGAATGTGAGGCATCTCTTTAAGAGACCTTTCTTAATTGTCTTCACTTAATCGAGGACATCCTTTAATTTGAGAGCTCACTAGACTTAAGACGGTATGTCAGCTGCATTAGAGGATAAAAAAGTGCATGAGAAGGTGTACACGAATGACTTCTGGAAAGTATAGTCTGAGAGTCTAAGAGGGAAATAAAGCAGAGAGTTCTCACCCCAGAAGATGCTGGGAAGGAAGATTCTGTGGCTGGGGACCATTCGATACAGGAGGAAGCTTTCGGGCTGGACTTGGAGGACAGATAGGATTTTGATAGGTGGCGCTAATAGCGAGGCATTCCGGTTCTTATTTGGGAAAAAGCCAGCTAGCTGTTTTTGCTGTAGATTGGGAATGATTATGGAAGTGTGACAAATAACAGGAAAGCAACAGTCGAACAGGGTCTTGTTATGCCTACCTGATGAGGCCTTTGAATTTTCTGGGAAGACATTGAGGAGCCATTGAAGGTCGTTAAGCAGGGCAGCGTCTTGCCTCTGCTTGTCTGATAGAGAGGGAAAGGACTGGAGGTTAGAGCTCCTGAGTGATGGGAATTCCTGCCACTGGATGAAAGCAGATACCAACAAAGCCACGTTGCGATACAGGTGGATGGAGGCTCTGCGTCTCTGCTCACCCACTAGCTAAGGGATTCCATCCTTTACGCCAGCCGGATGGCGCACTGCTCGGGGTCACGCTAAACCACTCTTTCTTGTAACATGGAATTTGTTTAGATCCGTAAGTACCAGTCTTTCTTTTGCCCATTTTTCCCTCTACTTTTCTTCTCTTATTTATTGGAGAGAGTATAAAGTTCTGGGAGAAGTTGAGCTGAGTAGGAAAGATTGTTTCAAGGGTGTTAAAATGGTGAGAAAATTTAGTTTACCTAGACGCTCTCATTTGTTCTCTATTTAAAAGTTTCTTACGGAGGTGTATAGTATTGAAAAATGTGTAAAAACATTTAAGAATTTGCCAGCTTTTTGAAACCTGTAATTGGCAGCACTTTACGTTAAACTATTTGCTGCTTCGCTTTCGGTTTTGTTGCTCCCCAGATAAAGAATGCGTCATTCTCAACATATTTTAGCATCTCTTCTAATCGTTCTGTAATTTGGCAATAACTCCATTGTATTTCAGACGATAGTGGGGATCCTTTCTGGCCAGCGTTACACTGTTTCATGGTGATTCTGGATCGCCTTGGATCCAAGGTCTGGGGGCAGCTCATTGACCCTATCGAGGCATTTCAAACCATCATCAACAACCGGAGCTACAACCGAGAGATCCAGAGTATCCGGAACAGCTCTGTGAGGTTCGTGCCATCGTACGGCAGGGTTTAAAAACAGCCTCCGGAAGAAAGGCTGTTGAAGCTTACTTAACGTTAGCGTTTCTTCTTTTTTTCCTTTCATTTCCGTAATTTCTATTTATTCTTAATATTTAAGGACCAAGTTAGAACCGGAGTCGTGTATGGATGATATGGTGACTTGCAGCCAGATTGTATACAATTATAATCCTGAAAAGACCAAAAAGGTATAAAACATTTTGAGAATTCAGATGACATTGTATTGCTTTTATCTTTTAAGACGGTGTTTTACGTAATTAGTTGGATCGCTGCTTTTATGATGAGAAGCTGTTCTCAATCAACTGCTGCATAAAGGCTTTCTGTCTGAACCGATGCTGTGCGGGGGGAAAAGTGGACTTTACCTACAATTTTGCACACTTTCGGAAATTCATTCTTAAGCACAGTTAGGAAGGGTGGAAAGTTTATGGGATCGGGAAGATAAGTGACGTGACCAGAAATCAAAAACAGCAAATGGGAAGGAAGGTCAGAGTACATGGAGGTGTTGTAAATTTACCTTTTTGTGACACCTTAACCTAAAAATTGGACTATGCCTTCACTTTCTTGGGGCTATGTATGTGTGTGTGGAAACCAAAATAGGAACATCAAGCCATATGTTTTCTCGTTTACCACTTATGTGCTAAACCTGTCCTGAACGGTGCTTTTTTATCTGAATGTCAGTATTTCTTTCATTTTAGGATTCAGGCTGGAGATCAGCCATTTGCCCAGATTATTGCCCTAACATGTACGAAGAGATGGAAACATTAGCCAGCGTGCTTCAATCAGACATCGGTCAAGACATGCGTGTTCACAACAGCACATTCCTGTGGTTCATTCCGTTTGTTCAGTCCCTCATGGATCTGAAGGATCTGGGCGTGGCCTACATAGTAGAGGTTATCCATCATCTGCACTCGGAAGTCAAAGATGTCCTCAACCAGACAGTTGTCGTGTGTGACAAAGTCACTGAATTTTTTTTTCTAATTTTGGTGTCAGTGATCGAACTACATAGGAATAAAAAATGCTTGCATTTGCTGTGGGTGAGCTCCCAGCAGTGGGTGGAGGCTGTCGTGAAGTGTGCCAAGCTCCCGACCACTGCCTTTGCACGGAGCTCAGAGAAGTCATCCGGCAGCGGCTCCAAAGGAACACCGATGATATCATCTCTGTCTCTCCATTCAATGCCATCTAACTCCGTACAGCTCGCTTGTGTGCAGCTGATTAGAAGTCTCCTTAAAGAAGGTTACCAGCTTGGGCAGCAGA